AATAAATATTTAACACATCAAACAAACATAATATTTCTACAAAATACAAACGTAAACAAGTATTGATGTATTTTGTGTCTATTTACCTTCTTGACTTGTCATTTGCATCAATAAAAGCTAATTGTTGTCTTTCAGACATGGGGGTAACTGGGGGATTCCTACTAAAATGCTGGGACCCCCTAAAGAACCTCGGGGCCTGTTTGCAGGCATAACTTAAGCATAACAATCTAATTGAAATTAATTATTATAACCTAAAATATTCGTAATCAATGGAAAGGGATCGATTTGTTGTGATAAATTAAAGATTTTTATCAAATCAAGTAAAAGTTTGTTAAAATTAGTGTAATTATAAAAACGGTGGAGATACAAAAATTAAAAATAACATAGAATAATAACAATTTATTACATTGGAATCAATTTTTTAAGTTTTTGCTTTAAGACACAACACAGAAAATTGTAACAGATCAAGTATCGAGAGAAGTTGGCAACGGTTGGAGAGAACGTTGCGCGCCAAATTCAAATTGAGAAAAATATTAAAACGATATTAACTGTTACACATGAAAAGAAGCAATTATTATATTGTCTAAGGCAAATTAGGTTCAAATTAATAGAAATACTGATAATAAATTAACATTTATGTATTATTATATTTCTTTACCACATTTAAGTAGTTTACATCATAGATAAAAGAGTTTACATCCTATAAAGTATAAACTACATCATTAAAAAAAAGTATTATTACAATATGATTTAGTTGTATTTCATTTTGATAACACATTTAGTTTTTTTTTTAACTTCCCGTAAGATATGTTGTAGTATTTGCAAAAATCTACAATGAAAATTTTTCTATATTTTTACGTTTCAAAGGTTTCTGAACATTTTATTAAACCATTTTATTAGAAAAATATGGATGCGTGCGTGTGCGAATACAATTTTTGACGACGATTTCGAGAACACGGATCAACCGATTTGAATAATTCAAAAAACATTCGATTCCTACTGATAAGGAGACCTGCCGATTAGTTTTTGGCAAAGGCAGGTCTAGCTGTTTCGGAGATACAGGGCAAAAACTGCCAAAAATGGTATTTTCTTTTGAATGATTCAAAAAACATTTTACTTGTAATGACAAAATGAAGAACTGTTAAATTTTTGGAAAGGCAGGTCCAGCGGTTATGGACTCTCAATACAAATGAGTTAAAAAAATGTCATTTGGCGGTGATAAATGTTTATTCGACATGTGTACATCAAATTATCAGATATTTTATAGAGATTTTAATATTGTGTACAAATTTTGTGTAATTTTTTTTGGGTTCCGTACCAAGATATTAATTTTTTTTATTTTTGTTAATTTATATGGTTCAAACAAATGTCCTCGACAGTATGGGTTTACCGATTTGTATGGTTAAAAAATTATTCGGTTCGTACTCGATGGCGAGGCATTTTTGCAAAAGGCACATCTTGCCGTTTCGGAGGTATGAAGCGTGTAAAAACGGTTATGCAGTTTTTGAGAGAACGGATCATCCGATTAGATTAATTCAAGAAACATGCTGTTTGAGTAGACGGTGTGCAAAAAATGGTTTCACGAAAAATTTCGTAGTTTCGAAAATTAAAAAAAAATCAAAATTAAAAAAAAATTAAGTTTTAAAAACTCAAATTTTTGAAATTTTTTATCATAAAAAAAACTAAATTTTGGAATATTAAAAAAAAAATCGATTTTTTTCCAAATTCTCAAAAAAATGAGAATATACATTTTTCTTAAAATCCAAATTTCTAAAAAAAATTCAAAATTTAAAAAAAAAGCGAAATTATCAAATAATTTCGCTTTTTTATATTTCGATGATATTTAATATCATAGTCGTCCAATTTAATAAGGACTTATAAGTTTACAGTATGTATTTATAATAAATCATCTATTTGAAATTATTCAAAACAATTATTGATTATTTCAATTTCTCGAATGTTTCATTACGATACGGGAAGTTCCAGTAATTTGCTTCAAAGCACCATGGTGCAAACATAAAATTATCAGATCGATTTTTTTCCTAGATACACAAACCTCTCATTTGGTTTGTAATTAAAATAATTCACTTCTAAAATTCATCAAATAATGGCCCTAAATTACAAAATAAATGAAAATCTGAAATTTTTCTGATTGTCATATTAAATTCAATTTTTCTCCAAAATGTCTAGTAGTAATTTTATTTTAGCCATATTTTTAACTTTTGCACTTTTCGCTCACATCGTTGTCCAAGCACAATTCGTTAATGATAATTTAGATACTTTAATTGAAATACAACCCCTAGAGTCCGATGAGGAGATCCCGCCAGAGGCCAAAGAAAAAACAAACCATGAAATGGAAAAACGCCAAATCCATGGAATGAAAATTATTTCACCCTTTGCCTTGGATGCAATTGAAAATGATAAACAAAATGATGATAAGAAAGAGTCGTTGTCCATTGGGAAGCAGAAAGATGAAGATAATTTATTATCGGAAGCGACTAAAGAGTTAAGGGCGTATATAGGGCTGACATTTACTCCTGATGACAATGCGCACAGGAGAGAAGAACGAGGAGGATTGCGTGAGTAAAAGAGGATTCATTTTTTAATACAATATAAAACTACTTGGTATTGGTATTTTGCCTTGAGGCAAGTTACATGAACTTCCCGATATGTGTATAGAATCGATTTAAACAATAAAAAGAGTGCGCGTAAGGATCACACGCGATTAAAGTAAAACTTATTTGCAATTATATTGTATAAATTCTATAATATTCATTCACACAGTGGATTATGTTAAACAACGCCTAAACAAATATTGTTTTTGCAAATTAACTCATCCTGTAACAATTGTGTTTGAAGAACTTCATGTAATTAAAATTAACATACGTATTTTTTTACTTTTTCGCTGACGATATAATCTCATTCCTTGAACAGCTGTAATATCCGTCTTGCCTAACAAATTGAAGCCATACTTTTATATTTGTTTTATTTATCAAGCTCTGCACATAGCTTGATCTATGAATCATTTTCTTTTTTATGCGAACTTTAATGCAATAATCATCATCAATATTACGAGGTAATAAATTAACCATATTATCAACGTCAACAGGCACATTTATAATTTGTCAAAATATTCCAAAATTCCCATTTGCATGTCTAGCTGAAATTAATATTTCGGATACAGTTTAGGTAGATAATTTGGTATAGGAGGAAATGCAAACCCGTTAAACTTACACAAAGTAGGAATTTTACCCGAATTTAATATCTTTCGACAAGTTTGACATCCAACCTGATTATTTAAATCATTATTTAAAAAAACATTTTTAAGAATTTGTTTTTGAGCATCTAAGTCACTTTGAAGCCAAAGTCGATCACACACAAAACATACATAGCCAAAGCTATCATTTCTTACGCAGCGCAGATTTTTCCTTAGTTTCATTATTTATTTGCGATCATTTGCACCACAATTATTTATGGGGGACGGGATAAAATATTCTTCCGATCCTGACATTTTTATTAACTCACGAATTATACTGCTAACCCATGTCGCGCCTAAAGAAGTTTTTACACCCATGTCGCGCCTAAAGAAGTTTTACTTCAAAATCAGCTTAAATTTATTTTTTAACTAATCAGTATCATTCCCAGCAAATATCTTTCAAACAGTTTTTGATTTTTAACTTCCCGTAGGGTAATTTATTGTAATGGGCCGAAAATCGGAATTGAAAATTTTTACATTTCTCGACGTTTTGAAGGTTTCTGAACATTTTGGCATAACTCAGAAAAAATGGATGTGTGTGTGTGTGTATGTATGTATGGATACAAATTTCCAGTCACGTTTTCGGGCGCACGGATCAAACGATTTGAATGGTTCAAAAAACATTCGATTCCTATTGATAGGGAAAAGAGCTGATTAGTTTTTGGCAAAGGCAGGTCCAGCCGTTTCGGAGATACGGAGCAAAGAGTGCAGAAAATAGAAATCGACTTTTTGAGAGAACGAAGTATCCGATTTGAATGATCTAAAAAACATTCAATTAGTAATGATGAATAATAGTTTTTGGCAAAGGCAGGTCCTGCCATTTCGAAGATACGGACCTAAATATGTAAAAAATGACAGTTTTTGAGAGAACTAAGCGTCCGATTTAAATGATTCAAAGAACTTTCTGCTTGTCTTAACAAAATAATTGATTTTGGAAAAAAAAATTTCAACCTTTTTTTTTAATTTTTTGTATATCGAAAATAATTCAGATTTTATTTTTATTCTGACTAAAGTTCTAATATACTTTAAACAAATAATTTCAACTTAGCAATTCAGTTTATATAATTCTTATAAATATTAGACAATGTTACAATATTTATAATAATCTATTTGAAAACATTCAGTATTCCTCAAACATTTCGTTACGGTACGGGAAGTTCCAGCAATTTGCCTTAAGGCACGATGCCATAATTGCCTCAAGACATAATTCCACTTACAGCTAGTTATTTTTTTAATATTACTATAACATACTGTAAGTGTGTACTCCGATCACTTAACAATAGTCTTTTATTCTTGCAGACAAGAAGCCGCATGATAGAAAAAAGTTAAAAGAACCCAAACCTTTAACTGGGCCTAAAATCTGGGACCAATGGGCAAATGGACAGCCTGTTCCGTAACATGTGGAGTTGGCAAAATGACACGCTGGAGGCATTGTGTCCAAGGGGGATGTGCTTCGGGAGAAAAAGAAGCCCAGATCAAAACATGTACAGCCCCTGCATGTTAATAATTGGAAACAATAATATTTAAAGAAGTTAATATGTTGTGATTAATATTGTTTTAATTTTGATAATATTGGTTTTTATGTAACAAGTATAGATTTTGTTATTTTAATAAAATGATTTTCATATAAGGATTTAAATAAATCTAAAAAAGTTATAATAACTATAAAAATATTTATATATAACATATTATAATATATTTCATATAGATATATAAAAAGAAATACCAGATACAGTTAATAAATTTATTTAACTGCGGCTTCAACAGCTTCTTCAGCGTTCGATGTAAAATATTTATCAACATCAATAATATTCACAGCCCTATTTGTTGTTCTTGTCGAATTTATAGTAGATCTCACAGAATTTCCAAAAATCGGTTTAAGAAAAGATTTTATACTACTTCCAGGTATATTCAATTTAGTTTTGGCTTCATTTACTTTCTCTTCTAACACATCTAAATTGTCTTGTAAATGTGAAACTAAAATATCTAAATTGTCAATTCTTTGAGATAATGACATTACATGTTCCTTCATTTGCATTATTTGCGGATGGACTACTTGAATGTTCGCACATGATGTGTTTTTCATCTGAAATATAGGGATAATATAATCCTGACAAAAATAGGTTTATTTATATCACTATTTGACAATTGGATAGGAATAATTAAATTGTAAAATTTTGTTAGGTTATGCCATATAAAACTAAAGTTCTTGCACAATGCAAAATTTCTCAGTAATATATCATATTAATAGATGCTGGAAAATGAGTTTTTTTTTTTAAATAATTGTTAAATACGATATTTAATTAGCTGTCAACTAACCATGAGCAACAGGTTGTGGAATTCTTCTAACCTAGTTAACATATCTTCAGCATTGTTTCTAATAGACTGCAACTATGACAAAACAAATAAATAATAAAATAATAACAATTACATTGTAATATGTGTATATAATATTACTTCATCGGTGGTCTCTATTTTAAAATAAGCAGAGTAGTCATCAGCTAATTCTTCTAACATTTTATTTTGGTAGTAATTATCAGAATGCCACAAATAATAAACAACTAATAATATTAAATTAAAACATTCTTTTTATCACCGTTGAAAGTACATTTCATTAATAATCTCGAATAAAATATTTTTACATATTTGTTTTGACATTTGTGTCAAAAATGGCGACTTGACAGCTCATCAGTCCAATTTTTCTAACATTTTATTTAACGTGACGTAACGTAATAAATACATCTACTAATATTAAATCAACACATAACATTTCATTAATATTAGAGGCACATTTTATTGATTATTTTTTTAAAATAAACATATTACTTATTTAAATTGGTTTTATTTTATGTCAAAAATGGCGTCATGACAGTTCATCAGTCCTTTCTAATATTTTGTTTAACGTAATAAATACATCTACTCTTAGATAAAAGAAGCATCTACTAATATTAAATAAACATATAACTTTTTGTTATTTTAAAAAGTATTGTATTAATTATCTCTATTTAATAAATATGTACTTATTATATTTATGTCAAAAATGGCGTCTTGACAGCTCATCAATCTCGGCTGGCTATGCAATGCGTGCGTTATCAATTCAAAATATTTGACTGATTTCAAATCAAAATAATAAACAAATCAAGCAAGATGAAATCATACTCTGAAATTCTAACAATTTTATCTCGATTCTTTCATACGCCGGATAAAAAACATTCGAACAAGAAATACGGCGTAGGTTATTGCTTGATCGTTTTGACGATGGACGATTTGGAGAACGTCCCTTATAAAAATAATAATTATTACGGAAGTAGAAGGTCAGTTGTGAGAAGGGTGGCTTCGATGCTTCCGGAATGGCTTTTTTCGGAAACGACGAGAATTTTTATACATCCTTGTTTATTGGCAAACCCGGCTTTGCCGACGAAATTGGAGGGCTGCGAAAGTTACCAGAGTTTTGGGAACTCCTTCAAGTGAGTAGAAAAATATTAATAGGCACAAATCAGCATAAAATTTCCAATAACATCATTATTAACTTCCCGTAGGGTAAGTTGTAGTAATCGCAAAAAAATCGAAAATAAAAATTTTTTATATATCTTTACGTTTCAAAACCTTCTGAACATTTTGGCATACCTTAGAAAAAATTGATGTATGTGTGTGTGTGTGCGTGTATGTGTGTGTGCGGATACAAATTTTCGTCGACGATTTCGGGAACACGGATAAAGCGAATTGAATAATTAAAAAAAAATTGATTCGTATTGATAAGGAGACGTGCTGATTAGTTTTTGGCAAAGGCAGGTCTAGCCGTTCCGAAGATATGGGGCAAAACGTGCCAAAAACGGTAACTCAGTTTTTAAGAAAACGGAGCGTTCGATTTGAATAATTCAAAAAACATTTTACTTGTATTGACAAGATGAAGAACTGATCAAATATTCATGAAGGCAGGTCTAGCGGTTTCGGAGATCTAGTAAAAAAAGTAAAAAACTAGCTGTAAGTGAAATTCTGTCTTAAGGCAATTAGGGCATCGTGCCTTAAGGCAAATTGCTGGAACTTCCCGTACCGTAATTCAAAATTCAAGTAATTAAAAGTAATCAATAAAAGTTGATCAATGATTTGAAACTTTTAATAGAATTTCGAACCATATTAAATCATTCTATCTTAAATAATTTATTTTGAAATATTTTGGAAATTCTGAACTTTCTTTCAAAGCAATCGTACTGCTTTAACTGCAAAAAGTCGAAATATCAAAGCGCGTAAGCGCTGCGTCGCCGTCTAACGCGTAAACATTGGTACGGAACCTATAGGAATGTAAACAAAATTTATACTTATTGTTAAAATCTCTATAAAATACCTGATAATTTGATGTGCATATGTCCAATGATCATTTTTGACCGCCAAATGGCTCATTTTTTTACTTTTTCCTCCATATCTCCAAAGTCGTTGGATTTTGTCTTTTCCAAAAATTTGAACAGTTCTCCATTTAGTCAATACAAATTAAATGTTTTTCGAATGATTCAAATCGGACGCTCCGTTTTCTCTAAAAACTGAGTACCGTTTTCGGCACTTTTTGCCCCATATCTTCGGACCGGCTTCAAACCTGCCTTCGCCAAAAACTAATCAGCACGTCTCCTTATCAATACGAATCGAATGTTTTATGAATTATTCAAATCGGTTGATCCGTGTTCCCGAAATCGCGGACGAAAATTTGTATCCGAACATACATACATACACGCACACACACACACATACATACATACACGTACACATTTGTATCCGAACATACATAAATACATACACACACACACATACATCGATTTTTTCTAAGGTATGCCAAAATGTTCAGAAGGTTTTGAAACGTAAAGGTCTATAAAAAAAAATTAATTTCGATTTTTTTGCGATTACTATAACTTGCCCTAAGGGAAGTTAAAAAGTTCAGAATTTCAAAAATATTTCAAAATACACTTTTCTTCAAAACATCTTTTTTTTTCAAAAAAAAGTAAATTTTTCTCAAAAAATTATAGTTTCTCAAAAATCTAATTTTTTCAGAGTAAATTATTTTTAAAAATGTTAATCTTTAAAAAAAAAAAAATGGTACGGGAAGTTCCAGCAATTTGCCTTAAGGCACGATGCCATACACCACTAGTTATTTTCTCTATTAATTTTTTTCTAGACCAGATCTTCTGCCGAGCAACTGCAGTACTCCAAAAAGTGAACTATTCGACGAATCCTACACCGAAAATTACAAAACGAATGAAACCGTGAATAAAGTCGAAAAAGAAAAATGCAGCACTAAAACATTATCCGAATGCGAATTCGGAGCAGAAATTAATTCCTTGAGAAACGACTTGAAAACCATCATGATCAGAATTCAGGAATTGGTGGACAAACAGAAGCAGATGGGTAAGAAATATTAAATTGCTCAAATAGTTTTTGTCAGATAGATTTATAAATATCTTATATATAAAAATGGAGCTCTCGATCAAATGATTCGCAAAAGCTCGAAAACGGCTAAACCGATTTGGCCAGTCTTAGTCTTGAAAAATTCGTGCCAATCAGTAGGTTGCCGGAGAGGTGAGATATTATTTCAAAATCGCGTAGATACTTTACATTTTTAATTTGAACATTTTTGTAAAAGCGTAATTTGAATAAAACAATGGACGGTGGCTAATACGTCAAATGTCAAACGTTTTTGACAATTACTTAAATAGGATGTTTTATGTGAATATTATTTAATTATGATTAAATTGTAGTAAATAGTTTTGTTCGTAGTTATATTTATACACAAAAACGTTAGTAAACGGGCAGCAAGTGTTACTAGAGACTCAAAATATCAACTTTGCTGAAATGTTAATATGAAAATGCACTTTTTGGCATATTTTTCTCAAACATTGTGCTCTGAAAGATCTCTGAAAGATTTATGAAATATTTTCTAGGTCATATTATTTTTTATTTATGTTATTTAAATTTAGAACCTAAATTTGGTATCGATCGATCAAATGGACATTTTTTGTCGAATAACATTTTCCCAGTTATAATTTCTTAGAATTTACCGAAGAATAGATAGAACAAATATATGAAGATCCGGGGTTAAAAAATGTCCACCACGGATGTGTCAAAAACCAGTAAAGTTAAGCATTGTTTAACAGGAATATTTGAAAGTAGGGGAAAAATTGTATAACCAGCTATAACATTGATTCTTATGACTTTGCTTAAATTCATAATAAAAGTATTTTCTTCCGTTGGTAGTTTTTTAGCATTAGTTAAAAATGTAAATATTTTGTAATATACCTTTGAAATTAAAATAAGACATTAAACCTGTTTGCCACCTAGTCGTTCGGGGTTAAAACGGTCTAGATAACAAATTTTTGAAAGACATAAAAAAAACACATTTCTACAATGATGAAGTAGCTGGCAGTTTTACTGAGCGTAGTCAGATAATTGTTTGTTTGAAACGTGTTATTTGTTGTGATATAATTGGTATGGTTTTCACAATATAGTTTATATTTGCTCAAAGTCAAATTGGACCTTTGTGCCTCGCCCTGCTCTACATATATACTTTTTATTAAATTTTTACTTTAATTCATCGAATGTTACTTGAAGCCTTTCAAAAAGCAGGTCAAAAAAGAAATACTTAATTCTATCTCTCCTCGCAGAATTTTGAAAATTTTGTGCAAGTTCAGTAGTATTATTTATAATTATACACGAAATCCAAAATCCAAAAATAATCTGAAAAACTTGAAACGTAATTAATAAGTCGAAAGACCAAAAAAGAGTTGGATTGGATTATACCATGTTTTCTATAGAAAGTGTATAAAACTTCCAGACAAAATATATACAAACTAATAATGGGGTTTATTGTTTTTACAATAACTCATTGTATATAGTATTCAAACAACACATCCGTATACATTTAAAGTATTAATATTTTTGATTATCTAGAAATTGTTTAGAATATACCTTACCTTACTTAGCAAAACAACGTTTGCCGGGTCAATTAGTTTATTAATATATTTCTCATTTCTGAAGCTGGAGGCGACGCAAGCATCAGTCTGCACAATGTTTCTGATATCATCAATGAGAAAGTAATGGAACAAGCTCCGACAGTAATAAAAGTCAGAAAAGAATTATTCCCGGTTAAAACTTCAACGCCGATGATGGAAGAGCAGAATACTCTAGAGCCTCCTCCTCCACCGCCGCCGCCGCCGCCAATGCCGAAATTAACACCAGGAGGAAACGCGTTGGCCGCAGTAAAAAAAGTAAAAAGATAAGAAAAATTAAAGAAATTTGTTATTAACTTCCCAAAGGAGAAGTTTATGTTTTCATCAAAAAATCCGAATAGCTAATTTTATGTTTTCTCGACGTTTCAAGCCATTCTGAATCGAATGAGACCAACATTTGGACCAAAAGTATGTGTGTGTGTGAACAGATTTTTTGCCGTAAATCGACGTTTTCTCAGAAACGGCTGGACCGATTTCAAAAATTTAAAAGCCATTCGATGTATCTCAATAAGGACTAACGTTTCTGAGTTTTGTGCGACGATCGGCCGGGCCGTTTCTTTGTAAATCGCAGAAAAGTGAAAAATTTTTCGTCCACGTTTTAGCCCGCAGTTCTGAATCGATTTTGA